TAGAAGCTATGGCGTTCATATCCTTTCTGCTTTGACGGCCATGCTGAGAAGGCCTGAAGAATCTATCCAGAATGCTTTAGTAACCTATTCTGGATTGCTTTTTGACACATTAGGGCCACGAATGCGAAGTCAACACTCTGAAAAGGCTTATGTAAGATCTAACTTTGACGCATTTCTTAGCTTCCCTTTTTAACAAGATGATTTGGCGCAGTTTGGCTTGAGGGGGGGGGCTATATCACACTCCGCTTCCTGTCATCGTGTCGAGCTATAACGTAGAGATTTATGAAGTATTGTGAAGCCGTGAAGTGATATCAGTCAAAGATTGTAGAGACCACTTGTCAACAGCTGTAAGGAATACCTGTCAACTCTTGTGAAGCAATGAACACGACGATAGGAACCGTCGAAAGTGCTAAATGGTCACCTCCAAGCCGAACTGCGCCGGCTACTTTTTTTATGATCGTTCTGCAGGACCTCTACTGCGTGGCAGCAGACAATCTTGATCTAAACGGTACTGCCAATCGAGCTGCTGTAATGATAATTGCTCAAATCTCGACATATTACCCTTCTGTGATGAATAAGGTTTACATTGAGTTCTCATATTTAGATTTTTCGAAGGTTAAGGAGAAAAGCGTTCTTCAGGCATTCTTGAGATGTATGGTGAACGTACGAGATGCGGATGATGCTGTGAATAGAACGCGGCTGATTGGATCACTGAACACATTGAAAGCGATTTGGCCACTGCTTTCAGAACCAGGATGTACCGTCACACAAGATAGTATGAAAATTGTGAGCTCCTTTATCATTGTATTCCTTATGGTGTATTTATTATAGATTTTCAGGTGATTTGCAGTGTATTATGCTGCTTACATTCGGCTCATAGTGAAGTGGTTGTTCCCAGTATAGAGTTGCTCGAGAAAATCATGTCAAAGCCGTTACAGTAAGTTGTTCGTGATGAATATGCTCAAAGTACATCATCGACATGTGCGAAATAGCTGTGCCTGTAAGACTTCTCAGATCAAGGAATTTACGATCCCCCTCTCTCCCCCTCCCTTCCTCCCTTATTTGCCCTCCGACCCCAGCTTTCTCAGAATTCTGTTGTCAGGCGAGGTTGGGGTGTAGACAGTTCCGCTCAACTAACGAAAGTATAGTTGATAACGTCGCAGTTTTCGGGGCGGGATGAGCCCGACCTCCTGCTGCCTGGCTCTGCCAATGGTGATCAGTGCCAATGGATTTAGGAAGAAATAACCAGTGATGGAAGCGCCGCGGTAAGCCTATTCCATCCCTCTTGAAAATGCTCCGACTGATTCGCGACGGCATCAACTGTGATAGTGCTATGTCATCGACTAGAGGATATACAGCGCGCCTGAGACAAGAGGGGGGGGGGAACAATAAAAAACCTCTCAAGTACGACCTCCCATCTCGCCAAAATCCAAATGCTACCGCTTACATGACTATTTAGACTTCTCTGCATGTTAGTGGTACGAAATCTGTAACGCAGACAGTAGAGGTCAGGGAGCGCCAAGGCACCAAAAGATGCACAAAAAAAACATGCGGTGTGCCAGGCAATGTGTTTTTCAAGGAGAGAGACTCTGAAGTTGGCGAACCCCTTGTCGTAGGAGTCAGTCTGGGAACCAGGCGAATCGGCGAAACGGCGAAGAGCATTAAATGCGTGTTTAGCGCGACAATGGTCGAAAGACGTCGCAAGACGCTGGCGCGGTTCGGCGCTAACGCGACAAGAGGTAGATACCCATGGATTTTGCTGACGCGGTCCGAGAGACTAACGCCAGAGGACAGAGCTAGCGTTTGCGTGCGGGGTAAGCGCTGAGCTGCCTGTCCACACGCATCGAAATCTTTTCGCGAAAGCGCGTCTCTTCCGACTCGTCAGGGTCGAGTACAATGCCTGAACTTGAACGCTATCCAGGGGAGAGAGTGCGAAAAAAAAAAGTTACTGGAAATGAGAACCCCATCCCCTCGTCTTTGGAAAACTCAGCGATATACACTA